ATATGCTATATATTTTGACAGTTACATGTCTTATATATTGTCAACTTTGCATTTGGAAAGTAAAAAAATATTTTACATGACATTTTAGTGGTATGTTATTAAGTTCTATGTTTAGTTATCATAAATGGCTTCAAAATGCATTTCTTACCAAGAGTCAGATAATTCATCCTGCAGATTAATAGAAACTCTTACTATTCATATGTAAATATATATTGATGATGTGATTTGTGGGGTCTTAGTAGAGAGGATCTGGTTTGTTGGGTCTTAATGTATATGTTGTACTTTGTAGTGTGTTTGTGGGGTATTAGTATATATATATATATGATGAGCTTTGTTGAGTTATTGTTTGTGGGGTCTTAGTATATATTATGCAATTTGTGGGGACTAAGTACAAATGATATGACCTGTGGGGTTTAAGTATTCAGCATTTGATATTTCGGTCACAGAATGTATGATGATGTTTGTGATGCACAATAATATCTACCTTGACTGATGACATTTAACACCATAAGAAAATTGATAATGTTTAGAATCTAGGTTTTTGTGGATTTAATATTTAATTGAATTTGATGACTTTGTGGCTATTTTATGCCATTTTTAGCTATAGATTTTTCACATCTAAGATAAATAAAAAAATCAAAATAGTTATTTACCTACTGGCAAACAAGCAACTTTAATAAGTAAAGAATTGCTTTGAAAATTTGGGAAAAAAAACGATTGTTTTATACTTTTTGCTCAGACTTTTAATTTACTGGCTGTTTCATTTAATTAAGGTGCAAATAATTTTAAGAAGTGATGAGTAACTTCTCAATTACATTAAACCTTATGATAGCTTTTAGTATACAGTGTATATGTAATGTGGGTCTTAGTATAAAAGCTCTGACTTGTGGATTATGAGTTTTGGGCAAATTTTTTGGATCTTATGTTATATTATGGTATAATTATGTAGCAGGGACTACCTTGGACTGAAAATTTAGGGAGAAGTGACTTCTCCCTTCAGGAAAAATAGTGACTTCTCCCTTCAGGACAAATAGGGAGAAGTTTTGAAATTTAGGGTGAAGTGATCATCAAATGGAGTTATATCATTGGATTTTTTTCTAATTTTATTTCGCAAAATATGCATGTACACCTTTATATGTACATGCATATAAAATTATACATGTATATGGGCATGGAAAATAAACAAATGTGTATTTGAAAATCGCTATGTTGATATTTAATGAAGTACTAGTTGCTCAATAAAGTTTATTTAAGCATTTGATTTACATCAACACAACATTTTTTCATTTTTTTTTAGGTTCAACAGTTTCTGACTCTTACTTTTAAATGCAATTTATTAAGAAGAAAAGTTCTTTAATTCATAATAATTGTCCAAATTCTATCAATTTACATCAGTTTCATTGATGAATATTACTATCATAAATTGTGATAACAAATGTATATGGGATATTGTAAATCAAATAGGACATATAGGGGAACTAGTAAATCAAACAGGACATAATTATAGGGGAACTATAAATCAAACAGAACATACAGAGGAAATTTTAAAATAACAAAGATTAGGGACTACTGTAAATCAAGGGATATTGTAAATAAGACACAAATATAAGTTTTAGGTAACTTAATTATCAATTAGCTTGCTTTTTCACGTTTTTATCATCTGTTGCATTCATATCAGGATTCTTTCACAGCTTTAATTTACCGTATAATCAATGCGCTAAAATTTTTAGCGATGTGGATTTTCAAGTGTGAATTCCAAATGTCGCTATGGCCACGCTTCAGCACGTGTGCTAATTACGTCGGATTACACAATTAATTCTGCCTCCAGGCAGTATTATGGGGTGGAGAAATATACATGTCAGACATTTCATAGAGATTTTAGGGCGACTAGAATTTCGCTTTTCAGATCATATAGGGCGAAGTGAAAATATTTACGGCGAAGTTTTCGCCTGACTTTGCCCTGAAGGCAGCAGTCCCTGTGTAGTGACTAGACTAAAAAGAAAATAAAAAAATAATGGAGATATTATTTAATTAAATTTACCAGTACCATAAGTTTAAACTAATTGTGTGAGCTGGTACAAGAGATATTGACATGGTACTTTTCACCTTGTATCAATTTGTTCTTATGGGGTGTTGTTATTGTCCCCAGCCTTTTCAAAAAAAAAGGGGGATATAGAAATAGGCTCCGTCCAGGACCGTCCGTCTGTCCATCCGTCTGTCCGCACTCACAGGACAGTAATTATGTGGCTAGAGGGACAATAGGTAACTGTTCTTTCTCTTTGATATCATTCATTCCTTAATGCTTTTATGTGGCTATTTCCTTTTGTGTGGCTAAAAAGAACAATAGAGAGAACAATAGAGTAGCCACATAATTACCCTCTTTTTAGAACGTCCGTCCGTCAATCTGTCCATCTGTCTGTCTGTCCGTCACCTTTTTGTGTCCAGTCCATAACGTTGTCATTTATCAAAGGAATTTGAAATAACATAGCACAAATGTTGTTATAATAAGACGATGAGTCGTGCGCAACAATCAGACTCCTACCTCCAAGGTCAAGGTCACACTTGCTCATTCAAGGTCAACATTGTCTATTTGATGGTATATCATATGTCGTGTCCGGTCCATAACTTTCTTATCTTTGAAGGGATTTTGTAAATACTTGCCACAATTGTTCACAATAATGAGACGATGTGTCATGCGCAACAACCGGTCACCTACCTCCAAGGTCACACTTGGAGGTCAAAGATTAACATAGTCAATTACAGGGTATATTTTGTGTCCGGTCCATAACTTTTTCATTTATCAAAGGAATCTGAAATAACTTTGCACAAATGTTTGTTATAATAAGACTATGTGACATGTGCAACAACTCAACCCCTACTTCTAGGGTCAAGGTCGCTTTTGCTCATTCAAAGTCAACATTATCTATTTGATGGTATATGTTGTGTCCGGTCCATAACTTTCTTATCTTTGAAGGGATTTTGTAAATACTTGCCACAATTGTTCACAATAATGAGACAATGTGTCATGCGCAACAACCGGTCACCTACCTCCAAGGTCTCACTTGGAGCTCAAAGATTAACATAGTCTTTTACAGGGTATATTTTGTAGGGTATATTTTGTGTCCAGTCCATAACTTTTTCATTGATCAAAGTATTTGCCACAAATAGTCACTATAATAAGACAATGTGTCATGCGCAACACCTGCATCCCTACCTTCAAGTTCAAGGTCACACTTAGAGGTCAAAAGTTAACATAGTCGGTTTTAGGGTATATTTTGTGTCTGATCTAGAACTTCTTCAGGATTTTGAAATAACTAGGCACAAATATTCACAATAATAAGACAATATGTCAGGTATAACACCTGCACCCCTACGTTAAGGTCAAGGTCACACTTAGAGGTCAAAGGTTAACACTGAGTCTGTTATATGGTTTATTTTGTGTCCCATCTATAACTTCTACTTAGTTCAAGGGATTTTGAAAATACTTGGCACAAATAGTAATATTAATAAGATGATATGTCATGCACAACACCTACACCCCTTCCTCCAAGGTCAAGGTCACACTTATAGGTCAAAGGTTTACATGATAGAATTTTAAATTCTGTGTTTCATTTTACTAGTATTTCTTTCATAAATTTATTGTTGCATTGGCAGATCTAACATGGATCATAATTTTGGACTGAAAGCCCTAAAATCCATACCTCAATCTTTCGAAATACGATTAAATGTTGCACAATTTTATGCTTTATATAAAACTTCCCCGAGGTGGGGGACCTTGGTAACTCTGTTACAAATTCTTGTATAAACATGAAGTGGAAGTGGTTTGTCAGCCATTTTTATGAAAGCATGGAGTCGAGCACATTTCAGATTGTTCATCTTATGATTTTAACTGTAATATTCTTGTCACTTGTTGTAATTGGTATAATAGTGTTTATAGTATATAAGAGATGGTATGCCTTATTTTTTAGTTGGAATAGATATCTTCAATAAAAGAGGTACCTCATGCTTATTGATATCATAAGTGAATTATTAAATTGTTCTCCTTTTTTTTTCTAAAATTTGTATAGTTGACTCAAATTTTAATTCAAAGTTCAAGAGTATTAATATTGACTTTTGGGTAGGGAGAAGAAAAGTCATTTAATTCTCTAATCCAATATTTAATTCTCAGAAGTATAACAGAAATAATAACAATAAAACTTTTTTTTAAGTTTACTGTGCTTTTGATGTCTTATATATTCCTAAGCAGTCTTGCGGTGGTATTAATCACATTTAGTGATAGTTCTAGTCACTTTTGCTAAGAAGTTAAAATACAGCTGCCAACTGTGAAATAATTAAAAGTCTGTTTTGCCCATATGCATAAAGATTTTACAGAGTATGCAAGGGAGATTACTGATATGATAGAATTTTAATAAGAAAAACATAAATTTCATTATTGCTGAACCAAGTTGCATTTAATAAATTTCATTCAAATAGAAATAGCTTTATTTCGTGAATATAAGAGATTTTGTATCAACTCAAGTTTTTACTTTGTTATTTAGATGACCAAAAGTGAGTTTTATAAGCATTAATATTTTGAGCCTCATTGTGGTGCAACTCCGCCTTTTGGTCATTCATACATCAACAAAAACGTAAATAAACATGGTAATCATCAAGTAAATCCTCGGTAAAGTTTAGTTTCAATTGTATAATGGTACATTTCCACACTACATAGAATCTGTTCAGCTTTTATTTGTGTATTTCTATTGTCACAGTGAAACAATTGTTTTCACACCGGTATAAATGGGAAAATACGGCATTTTTTGTGTTTCATATTATAGCTTTCTATTAACTAGTACACCTGCACGACCTTTTAATAGAATTCATAATAGTATGAATTAGCATATAACTAAATAACATTAGTGTTACCATGGAGTTTTCCTCTTAAAAATCTTTTTTTCAGAGCATTTTTATCAAACTTTCAACACTAATGTTCAAAAAGGATATATAGACACTGGCCCAGTTGTTCAAAACTTTTGTTAACTTTAACAACAAATTAACTTAACTGTTGTTAAATTTTAACATTCTTGTTAACTAACGAAATGTTAAAATCTTGGTTGTTCAGAGCTTTGTTAAAATTTTCGTTAGTTAACGAAAAGTTAATTTGGTTAACTTTTCGTTAACTATTTAACAAAAAAAAAACAATCCCATAATGCAGTGTGCTACATCCTGTACAGTAATCCAAGATGGCCGAAATTCAAGAGGTAAAATCACAAACTCTGAGTGAAAACCAAAAAATAAAGCGTGCCAGGAGTACTAACTTTTCATGCAATGAAATATCTGTCCTTGTGGCAGCATATAGTAAAAATAAAGGCCTACTTGAAGGCACCAAAATTTCAAACAATGTAAAGAACAGGATCTGGGAGGGCATTGCTCTCAAAGTTTCAGAGGCTGGCACTGCCTTAAGAACCACCAAAGAGGTAAAAACAAAATGGTTCAACCTCTCTCGTATTTCTAAGCAGACACACAGTGACTTCAAGCAGTCTTTTAACAAAACTGGAGGTGGACCACCTCTTTATTCGCCCAAGGGCTTCATCAAAGATATAATTGACCTCAACACTGATTCGGAGAATTTTTGTGGGATAGATGGTGGTTTGGAGACCGAAATTTGTTTTGATTACGATTACAGTAAGTATATGTTTTTATTCTATAATGGTTTTAATGTGTCCCAAAATAAACATAAATAGCTAATAATTACAAAAAGTAAATAAACAAGTTTGAAGTTAGGAAACACCCTTCGTCGTCTGCAATATTTTGTTACTAAATATAGTATACAGCTATTTAAAGAGTGACCTTGACTTGCTTTTGCCTCGTTCTGAAGTCTCAGTCAGCTGTTTACTCTTAAAATCTACAATTTTTCGAAAATAACGGCAATGATTGTTGTTTTCATAATATTCAGTCAACATTAACCAAGCTAATAATGACAGACAAAGAATGACAGAAAGGGATTATAAAGGGAGGCTTACAGGTTAAATAGTAAATAAGTTCGTCAAATTTTCGTTGTTTGAAGCTTCTCATGTGTTGTATCTGCTTGATTGAGAGTCCGTATAAGAATAAGTTCCATAGTTATTGGTAGGACTACACTATTGATTTTCCCTTAGCTATAGATAATCATCGACATAATACTTTTATCAAACCGTTTGAAAATTATTATAAGTATTATTTATGATAAATTGGCCAGAATCATCGCTTAATAAAGTAAATAACACTATAACAATGATAGGCCTCACAAGAATTTTCTACACAGTTTCCTACCAAATGTTATTCGATTAAATTCTACTGAATAATCAAAAATAAAAAGTTACAAGAGGCCCTAGCCAGGGTTATAGTAAAAACTAACACAAAGTGGCAGATACTAAATGTCAAAAAATATAAAAATTATTATAATATTAAACTTATTACTATCATTAATTAAACTAGGTAAAATAAAAAAATATACTCACTGAACCACATATTGTGCACAAATAAAGATGTTCTCAAATGGAAATGATCAAACTATTATTTTTTATAATTACAGTCACTGAAAATACAGTTGGCAATGAAGGGCGTCAGATAGACAGTGCAAATATGGAGGCTGGTATGTAGACAAAATATTAATTAATATATGTAGATTATGGTTTGGATAGAATACATGACCAACTCTGACTGGGTGTTCAATTTCTATGTATTTTAATGATGTAAAAATGAAACCTATAAATATGAATACAATTATTAATACATGAAATACAAAACACAAATTTAAATACAAATTCAATATCAATATCATTTAACATTTCATATTTCAAACAATTCCAACTATTTAATTCATACATTTCAACACATTTCTTTTAAGTTATTTAAAGAAAAACATATCTTACCAGGTGCAACTGGCTGACCTCTATTGTATAAAATAATAGAAAATCTATTCTATAAAAAACAAACATAAAGTTTATTTAGATAAATACAAAATGTTCTATGAAGAACTACTGAAGTTAACTTTATAATGCAAAGTTTGAAAATGATTTCTGCCTTAGAAAAGAAATGTAAGTTGCCCATGCATAAAATGATATGAAATCACTCACATCCAATCACATTCTCACTTAACAAATATACAAGATATTTATTGGACATCACTTAACAACACAGGACAGAACAAAGGACAGTTCACTGAGCATGGTAACTCACAACAAGAACAAGACATTACCCATAATTCTATAATGATGAATGAAAATGATGTCATGTGATTATGCCTGAATGAATGAGAATGTACAGTTAGTTATTCACTACAGTGATAATAACTGTGTGTGTAAATATAGGATAAGTATACAGATAGGCAGTAGTTTGACCTTATCTACATATATATTAAGCATAATTTTAACACATGTGCACATGATACTTAAACTCATTATCTGACACATACATACTGCTAATTATGTGCACACACAAAAATTTCAGATACTAATTTGTATATTACATTTGTATATAAATTTGTTTTCATATACTATCATACTATCTAATTATTGTAAAAGATTAGATTTAACATTGAAAATTGTATAATTCACTTAATTGTTTAGACCTGAAATATTGAATCTAGTTCCTTTTATGAAAAAAGGAGCTTAAGAAGTCAAGACAGTAAAAGAACTTTTTCACATTAATTAACATGTATTTTAAGCCAACTTAATCTTTCTAGCAATTATGCATGAATTTGAAATAGTGTTGCCTATCACTATAATTATGAAGTAGGCATTTATAAGTCATCTTAGACATGTATGTACCCTTTACATGATGTAAGGGAGACAACTCATAAGCCCATATTTATTATTATTATTATTATTAAGATAAACATATCAATGTCATCACAGGTAACACATCAACAGTATCTGATGAAGTTGAAGTCATTCATCCAGAAAATGTGAATGTTGAAATAGTGCAGGAGGTATGTGATAATGGACCATTTACACAACTCAGTATTTCCCTTTAAGAAATAGAATTTAACTTTCTTTTTCAAATTCATGATAAATCAATATATTTTTAAGATTATACCAGCAAGCTGGTCTACTTCAACAGCTCCTGCTTTATGATTGTGTAATAATTAACATTACTAACATAAGCTTAAATAACAATGTATTTTCTTTCTAGAATTCGTGATTTTATTAAAAATTTAGGTTTTTATCTCTCTTTTTGCATTCCTTTCCACTGCTGCAAATAAAGAAAAACAGGACTTGGAATAAACTTAATATTTCAGACTAAAACTGATAACTCAGACATGATCAGCCAAAATAAGAGACAGCAGACATGTTATGAGAACCAGAAGCAGAAAAAGTAACTATAATATTTTTACACTCTTTTATTATATCCATGATAATTGCATAATTTCTTCAAAGTTGTTTTGCCCACTAATGCATTAATATCTCTGTAGAGTGAATGTAGACTTAATACTTAAAGCTATTTTCAGAGCATCATCTCTTTTTCTGATTACCTATTATTGAATTTGTAAACAATATCTGAGCTCTCATAAGATCTTCCTTTGCAATATGTTTCATAGAATTATTATAGTAAAGGAATTTTTACTTTTATAAATCAAAGTATATGACTGTTTTTATATATTTGTTTTCATATGTAACTAAAAAAAACAGTAGTATCAGAACATTTAGAATACATTGTGTATGTAAAGAAAGTGAAATATATTATTTCATAATTGTAATACAGCATATACATATGGAAGACAGACAAAACCCCACACATCAAAACCCAACACCTAAAAAATTTATAGAGTGGACAAAACCCCACAACTTAATTTTAAAGAGTGGAAATAACCCCACACCTTCAATTTTATAAAGTGGACATAACCACACACTTTTTATTACTATTATGTATGGTCCTTTGACTGACAATGAAATAAAGGACATTCCCGTACGAAAAAAAATCCTGTTTTACAACTGTAAAACGACTGAAAAACACCTGTTTTTGTAAAAATACAGGTCTTAGGGACCTGTGTTTGCTGAATTTGACATTTTGACTAAGAAATACAGGTGTATTTTAACAATTTTACAGGTGTATTTTTGAGACAAGACCTGTGTTTTAGATGTACACATGTAATTCTGATACTTAGAAAATATTGAGCTGAAAATAATCTAAGTCCAAAACTACAACTGTATTTTCAATGATACAGATGTACAATACACACTTAGAAAATCTTTTAGAGAAATTGTTCTTATTTAAATACTTTAATATCTTTGATGCAATTGTACAGACTGCATGCACATTATTTACACTTAGGATTTAATTTTTAACATTCATAATGTAAGCAACTTTGAACTAAGAGTGCTATCTAAATTTGAATATACATGTACATTGTATATGATTATTTAGTTTTAAAATATATGAGATAGTTCACATAGGCCTGTGCTTGTTGTTCTTTTAAGTTTAAAAAGAACAACAACAAAAACTGTAACAACAACAAACTGGTTCATGTTCTTATTCAAGACTCCAAATTAATTTGCAGACATTATGAGTTATTCTTCACTCTGTAAAGTTAATTGTGTATGAAATAAACTCATACATTAAGCTCTCTCAATCTAGTTTGTAATATAAATGACCTGTTAAGTAGGGTAAATAAATAAACACTGCCTCTACTACTCTACAATGATTTTACACAACTGACTGATTTTACACCTTGCACTGACCAGTCTGATAATGGTAACCACCTGTTTTCCCACCATAAATTCTGCTACAGTCCAGACTCTTCCATTTGATTTTTTCTGGGGGGAAACAACTTTATAAATTTTAAATGAAGTCTGTTTAGAAGGAAATTGCAAAGTTATCTTTAAAAACTTATTATGAATTTGAAATTCTACATTACACTTTTTTTTTCTCATATGTCTAGTATGATTGTGAAAGTAAAATGATTGGTGCTTTGATTTGTAGAATATCCCTGTTTAACATTATGCATGATGAATCAGTCCAGTTCTACAGTTGTAAAATTTGAAATCTGAGGTATTTGTGGAAATAGTGCTCATGTATCACAAAGGATCTTATTGATAATTAAGAAATTGTGGAGATATAAGCAATTTTCTAGGCAATATTTTGTATAAAATGTTTGGGTGTAAATTCTTAAACTTTTTCAAAGAAAAAAATCAAGGCTACAGTCTTGTTAATGAAAATGACAATATTCTGGATTATGGGATATGCTGGTTGCAAATGAAATTTGAATCTTGGACAAGAAGATGAAAACCAGAATCATAAAAAATCAGGTAATACCTTTGGATACATTTATGTGGGACTATGTCCACTATATAAAATTGAAGGTGTGGGGTTCTATGAATTCAGGTGTGGGGTTTTGTCCACTCTATAAAATTGTGAGGTGTGGGGTTTTGATGTGTGGGGTTTTGTCCTACATTCTATACATACATGTGTATAAAACATTAAATACTGTTCTTGATATAACCAGGCGAAAGGTAACACAAGAAATGGTTTGGGAAGCCCAGCTTCAGTTCTTCAAAGAGCAGAGTGAGACTGAAGTGAGGAGAAGGCAGCTCATGGATGCCAAAGAAAGTTTCTACAAAGAAGCAACTGCTGCATTGAAGAAATCCAATGCTTGCTCAGATATTTTTCAGATAATAAATGCAAGCAAAGAATCATGAAAGGTAAATATGTAATTTTTGCTGTAGACTTAAAGCAGCATGCCTTCAGGTTCCTGTAATGTATTTTATCAAGTGAAGAAAACAAGTAATTTACACATTGCAAATGTTCAATCCAAATTATTTACTAAATACAGGTCACAATAGCCCTTGCTGAGTTAGAAATATGGTGATAATTTCTACAAAATCAGTAATTAATTGCATATGAAATGTATATCATTACTTGAATTGTGAGTGTTTTTACTTTTCTTAAATATTTTTGATGATTTCCAATAATTCTTTGGTTCACAAGGAGGCATGCAGCTTTAAAGTCCACAACAAAATGTACATTTTCATTGTTTCTATTTTTCTTCAAAAGTAATGCCTGGTTATATAATCTCTTATATGATTGCCTTCCTCTGGTCCATCATATTGGGCTGCTGGTTGGGGTGGTTCCACTATTGTATCATCTGTTAAACCAGGCTCTCCTAACATGATTGCTATGTTGTGAAGCACAGCACAGGCAATAATTGTTTTACTGGCTTTCTCAGGAGTAAGTCTAACCTGTTAAGAATTATAAAATACTGTGTACATGCAGTGACTGATAGAAATAAAAACGTGATATTTTTAAATGTGTATTGTTTCAGAAGTCATTAACAAATTTACAAATTCTTATATGTTATTGAATTTTATATTCAATTTCCTGTTACTTTATGAAATCATTTTTTCTTACCTTAATGTTCAATTCATAATGTTGGTTGAAAAAAAAAACAATTTTGTGCTGCATTAAACAGCTGAAATCTAGGTTCTACATGTATGACTGCCCAAAAAAAAATCCAACACCAAATTTACAGTGTAAAATGTAATATTCCCTTTCTCCATGTAAAATTCAAATCCCTTTTTCCAACTCCCAAATCCCTTTTTCTAGGGGCAATTTTCTTGTTCTAAAATGAGCTTTTGTTAAAACGCTCCCTTTGGGGGGGTTTTGTCAAAATTTTTTCTGTATGGTTTAAAATCGGTTTTCATACAACTAAACGAAATGTAAAGGGTTTAAATTTTTACGGGGAATACACACACATGAGAAAAAATAAAAGCTTTCAAGATGGGTAAAGCCCAAGACATGTTTTTATTAAATTTCCCAACCCCACGGTCCCCCAAAGGGAGTTCCCATCCCCAAAGGGTTTTCCTTTTTTTCCCTGCCCGGGTTTGGGCCCACGTGAAGATGACTTAAATACAAAGCTGTCATGGGCTGATCCTGGCCATTTAGCATTAACACTTATGAATTTACCTAAAAAAATAAATTGAAATTCTTTAATGGATTATTATTCAGATAGAACAAATTGCATGAGTTTAAATTCTCTACTTTAATAGAAAAATTATTAAACCCTCTGGCTGGTATGAAAGAGTGTATGTTTGTTTGTTCTGCATGATTAGGCTATGTTTCACACATTAGTAAGACTACTATGTGTGATACATTACCATAGTCTTACAAAAGAAACAACTTCTTTATAGTTTATACATACAGTAATTAGAAAAGATACCCTTGTCTCAACTGTTGTAATGAAGTTCTGGAAACAAATGCATGTAAAAATAGATAACCCATATGCCAAAGTTCACAAAAATTATTGAAGTCTATAGTCACATTCTGTACTTCACTGGTTAGTAAAAAAATGATAATCAAGTTTTTTTCCTATAAGTACTGCATTTATTTTCAATTACAAGAGTGGCAATAGCCACAAGTGAAATGTGATAATTTTCTTCCCACAGGATGAGTGGGTCCTGTATTTATAGAAAAATTTGAATTTTCTTTTTGTTATATAGTAGAATAATACAAATTTTTCTCTTTTTTCTTTTCTTATTACAAGTCACCAGTGACAATATGGAAAAGCAATTATATATTCTGTCATTTACTTTTGTTTGCCCATATTTGGGTGTCTAAAGGAAGTTACTTGAAACAATTGTGCAAGTATATTTGAGTCTAAGACTTGGTAATAAAGAACATCACACTGCTTTATCATTTGAGCCGTGTCATGACAAAACCAACATAATGGGTTTGCGACCAGCATGGATCCAGATCAGCCTGCGCCCCTCTTT